GAGATCGGGAAGGGGTGAGATCGGGAGAAGGATCGGGCTTGGGGAAGAGTTGGGTTCCGACCCTAGTAGGAGGTCGATGGGATCTCTGCGGGTTTGTGAATGGAGGTGCGGCTCGAGCTCCTGCAGGCGACGGGATCTTGCGAACCTGTTGAGGATCGCAGCTTGGGGAGTTTGGCTTTGTGGAAGAAGGGAGGAGTTCGGGAGCTAGCCGTGGCTTGGGATCGTGTAGAGTCGGAGAGAGCTTGTGTGGGATTTGCCAATGGGGAGAGCTGTAACCGGGGCCAGTATTTAACGACGCAGGTGGACTTCAATCGAGACGAGCCACAGGATATCCGGGAAGAGATGCGATCGCAGCGGAATATCTGGACTGGTTCGGTGCCGTCTACAGATAATAGTCCTGTAGCTAGTGGCGGGATTTCTGCAAGATTTGCAGAGATTTGGGATTCTCGGCAGAGCAGAGGTACGCTGATTTTTTTTTCTCTTGTTGTTATTACATGGAGGTCAACATATGGATTTGGTTAGCAAGTGTGACTAATATTTTGCCTAATTTGATACAAATTGAAAGAGGTATGATTTTAAATAATCATATGATGTTTATATTTTTTAATTTCTACATATTCTAAGAGAAGGCCATCAAATTATCATCTATATAAATTTCTTTGAATATTAAATTCTCGTCACAAGAAATAAATAATTATCTAAATTCATAGATTATGACCTACAAATTTGAGTGGCTTTATGTGATTTTGTGCATATAATAATAGATTTACATCAGAAAAAGCTAGATTTTAATAAGTACTGCATCACTCAAATGTGCACTATTTTTAAAATTTAATAATGGGAATATTTGAAATTTTGGTAAAAGTCTAAAGGACATTTAATGAATTGTAAGAACATAATGGAGAATTTGAAAGTTCATAAATAATCCCAAGGCACTTCTAGTAACCTTGAGAAAGGAGCCTAATGACCAGTCAAATAATCTTCAAATTAAAATTGTCTATTAATTTGAAGACATCCAAGCAGTTTTTTATAACTTTTTAGGTCCATAAAAACATTAGCAATGCTAAAAGTTCCCAATGATATTTTCCCCCTTAATTACCCGGGGAAAATTAATGAAATTGCCCTTGATGAATTTTTTGATCGGTTCAAATGATCAAAAACATTATCAGGCCCCTTTTATTAGAGAGAGGAGAGCATAAAAAAGGAGTGAGAGAAGAAGAGACTTAGCAAGGCCTTAGGTTCTCCTGGGAGCTCCTTGATAGGGATTACTTCTCCAAAGGATTTCACCCTTTAGAAGAAAAATCCCCCTTAGTTAATGCAAGCAAGGGCATCAAGGATGCCTGGAGGAGGCTCATATCAGTCTCCTAAGGGAAATGCAGTAATCATGGATTCCCATAATCTTTGCTCCTTAAAAAATTAAATATTGGGAAGTTAAGGTAAATTAAGACCAGCAAAAGATTTGTCTGGTACATTAAATGCAACATAGTTTACTGCCAATTATATCTTAAGATCATTTGAAAATAAAGTACATTCTATAAATTCATGCAGCATAAGTTTTGATCGAATGCAACGTAAGTTACATTGTACTTGATTGTGTTAACCACATGGGCTTAAAGCTTTTATTAAACATTTTGATGATAACAAATATAATTTGGTAAGAACTAATATTGTTTAAAATAAGATTTCTGCATGTATAAGTGTCAACGTTTTAGGTGAAAGTCGGAAGAATAAGTCATTTCAAACTAAAGAAAGCATTATATGAATTAAAACAAGCTCATTGATCCTAAAAAAAAAAAAAAGCTCATTGATCCTAGCATGGAAGGCTAAATGCATTTCTTTTAAAAAATGAATTCAGTAAATGCACTACATTAATGGACCATTTGGAGCTTGACAGTGTATTTTCTTTTCTTAGTAATACTAATGCATACATCCTCCTAGGAGTAGGTAGTTTAGTTATGTGCTTGGTTTAGCAGGAAGCACAACTTTGTTATTACTTTTTGTTTGCATACATGTATGCTGTGAGTTTCTATCTCTTTTTTTTGGTGTGTGTTTATTATGTCTTATACTTGCTATGTTCATCAATCATCTCATTAAGAACTTATCTTCTTATACAAGTCACAAGGCAGTACTTAGCATTTTACATTAATTGCAAATTAAAAAGAAATATAAAATAGATAAATTTAAGGGGAAAGCTATATAAACCCCAATCAAAGTATGCTTGTCACCCCCATTAGCATAAGTTTGTATGAAATATTTTGATGATCACAAACAAAAATTAATATGAGCTAACATTGTCTAAAATAAATATTGAGCATGTATAGGAGTTAAAATGTCAAAGTCATGGTCAGAAGAACAAGTCATGAGAAAAGTATACATACACGTACACAATTCAAATGAAGCCTACGGTTTAAGCAACTCAAGCTAGCCTGAGCGATTTCAAAACCTATGCTTCATAATGGTTTTTTTTTTTCTCGAGTCTTTGTATTATTGTATTTCAGGATGTTAGTTTTTCAGATGACTAGCACATACACACAAGAGAACTAGTGAGGATAAACTCTAGCATAAAATATTATAAAATTGATACTACCTAATTGTATTACAAGATCATGGAACATATTTTATGATCAAACATAATTAAAATTCTCTAGAATTGATCGAACTATATGATCAAGTATCATAATGCACGATCATGTTCATTTCAAAATTATGTATGAGTTATTTTTGTTAAGATAAAAAAATATATTTAATATTACTAATTAATCTTAATATTTCACTCTGTACAATCAGTCTTATTTTAGTAACATACTATCATCCTTATTTTAGAAAAATTAATATAATTCAAAGTTTCAATAAATCAGTTTTGTACGATGCACATTGTATTGTACAATCAACATAATTATCTCAATCAAATCTACAGGAATAATTAGCCTTAAGTGTGATTATTCAAAATTTCTCCTAGTTGTATCATATGATATACATTGTACTGCATGATCAACTACCTAAAAGAAATCCAATTAATCGCACGATTAAGTCAGACAACTGATATGATATGAATTGAAGTGATCATGTTGTAAGATTGACTAGCAAACTTTTTTATTCTATTTTTTAGCCTTAAATTTTAGACTATATGCGCTTAATATAAATACCTATACCAAACCTTAGACAAGAGAGAGAGAGAGAGAGAGAGAGAGAGAGAGCTGCAGGAAACTCATTAGCCACAACATAAAATCCTTGAGATAGAGTTTTTTGAGAGAGAGTGTGAGAATGCACCATGGTCATCTTCTTCTTATCAAAAAACTTCAGATCCCAAAAAATATGAATGATTAAGAGCATTGGTTTCTTTTAGAAAATCTCAGATTTTAAAAACAGTTGTGAAAGATTTTGTTTCCGTAGCCATGGAACAAAGAATAGCTGGCTCCTCATTTCGAGCAGAAGTGACAGCACAGTTTCTCCATTACCGGTGAAAGAGAAGGGTTTCTTTGCTTTGCGATAGCAAAGAGAGAGGGATGAAAAATATTAAGAGAAAGACTTGCAGAGTAAACGTAAGTTATTGATGGCCAAACCACTATGCATCGATTTGCCTATTATTTAATCTTCTGGAGTTTAACTTTTTAGAACTTTCATTTGCTGCAATGTTCTGTAATGATATCTAGATGACTAGATATAATATATATTGTGAGATTCGAGAAATGGTTTGGATTATCCTAAAAAATATCTTAATATAATACTATTGTGTAATGAGATTTGAGAAGAGTTATTTAAATAATCTAAAAAATATTTCTTTAACTTGAAAAAATTGTGTTTGTCTTTTTCAATAAAAAAATATTTTTATTTTTTATCATTTTAAATGAGAGAAAAGTATTGGTTCTTCAAACTATTTTAAATTAAGACCAATTCAGCACCCCCACCCCTCCTAGGTGTGTATACCATTCAAATTGATAGGTATATTCACTTGAGCGTAAAGTACGACCAAATGTTGGTTTTTTGTGTTTCACTCATTAATGATTTGATTGGATAATACACTATTGACTTGATCATCTTGTCAATTAGCCAATGAACTGGAATTCTTTTATTTAGTCAAAAATCTTTCTTTTTGTTTTCTTTTAACTCCTAATATAGATAACTCTGGTTATACAGTTTCCGTAGTAGAAGATACAAGATGTGCCATATTCAAGATTTTAGAATATGAAATGAAAATAATATAACTCCACTAGTGCCAACAACATTTGGACGTCCTAAAATTTTTACCAACAAAATAACTAGGTAACATCTCTACTCTTCAAAATACGTGAGAAACAACCTTTGTTTCCCATTCATGAGAATTGTTAAATTTATGTGTGGTCAAAAACCGATGCTTTTCTCCATAAGGCATAAAAGTTACCTGTTAGGTATTACAGCATCAGAACTATGACCAAAACCAGGACCACCAAAAGCAGGAGCACCCCTGTTAGTCAAACAATGGAAAAGGAAATATATCAACATCTTCAGCCCCCATAATTTTACTCCTAAACAAAGGCACGCATAGGATCCAATAGTCTACAAGCTCAAGCATATTTCAAATTAAAAATTTTTGCAAAGACCTTTGATCACCAGGCCTTGGTCTCTTTCTATCAGCAAACCTGACAATTAATGGCTGATTACATCCCTGGAGCATATAGATAAGTAGAAAGGTTATAATATCAATAATATGATTTGAAAAACATCAACAATTAAGTATCACTTACCTTCATGACATAAGACCCATGTAAGGCATTCAATGCAGCTAAAGCCATGTCCCTGCTGGAAAACTTTATAAAGCCACATCCTTCACAAACATGAGAAGAAAGATACCAAAATCAACATGTAATGCAAGCAAAACGAACATGTAAAGGTAGAATATGGAAGCACAAACCACGGCTCTGTTTCATCTCATCTTTCATAAGATAAACATCCTCAACATGACCATAGGCAGCAAAAATCTGCTACAAATTTCAGTTTTTAAAATTATTAGTAAATGAAACTTGACTAGTATTCCATATCAAAAGGTAAAAAAAAATACCAAAAAGAAATACTATTCAAGCTTTCTTTAGCAGGTGCTTAAAGGAAAAAAGCAATTTAAACACACAAGTTTTTGGATATTAACTAGCAGGGAAAATAGGAGAAAACACCAAGCTTCACTAATAATTTGCAAAATGAATGATAACAGATTATATAACATAAGAAAACTGAATCACAAAAAAAAAAAAAAAAAAAAAAAAAAAAAAAAAAAAAAAAAAAAAAGTTAAACAGCCAATGCAAAAGCATTATATCTTATATCGTTTAAAAGCGATTTTCATTCAAAAAGCAAGAGCAAAGAAACTCTTACTTCCTCAACTTCTTTTTCAGTGGCCCGCTTATTGAGTGATGCAACAAACAGCTTTTCCTCAACTGAACCTAAAAATCAAGTATTAGCTCTACTAACAATCAATAGCGCTAGATGTAGAAATTAGAGAAATACATCCAGATTGCAGAAAACAATGACAGGTGTCACACGTCACAAAAGACCCTGAGTACAATTTTATGAAAAAAAATATTGAAAATATAAAATGAATTAATTTCGTAAATAGGACTCCAAATGTTTCTGTAGTAATGGACAAATATGATAGAAGACTTGCCATCTGCTCATCACTCTCAATTTTATTTCTTTTTTTTTTTTACACAACTACCTGTCAGTGATACAACACAACTGAAGAGATTAATAAGAAGAAACTTCGAATTATTTCAGGAAGGCTAGAATCTAGTGATCTCGCGTGTTTATCAGCTAATTCCAGGAGAAAAATAAATCGCATTGCCAGGTAAATTGAAGCTTAGATCATGGAAAAAAAAATTGCAATAAAAAACCTTATACTCAACCTGGCTAATATCTACCACTTCTAAAGATATTTTACAAACAATCCCCACATAAGAAGTTACGTAAACCTGCACCATACTTAAACAAAAATGTTCAAACAAATCTTGGCAGTCGATTTTCCTATTTAGTCACCAAATGGGCAAAGAAGAAGTAACAACGGAGCCTTTCATTCTAAGAAGTTACATAAACCTGCAATCACTATCAATCCCTAAGAGGAAGAGGGAAGAGATTGTCATAGATTTTGCTATGGGATTTCCTAGAACCAGACAGAGATATGACAGTATTTGGGGTGATTATTAATAGACTGACAAAATCAACTCATTTTTTGCCTATCAAGCAAACAGATGCAGTAGACAAATTGACACATATGTATGCGAAAGTTATTTGTGGGCTCCGAAAATTCCATTTTGTCGTTTTCCGGCCTCTCTGCGCATCAGTCTCTTTTTCTTTTAAGTGTAATGACGGCGGAGAGTTTTAACGAGAGTAGGTTCCAAGTAAATTTTCAGAAGGCATATTAGGTTTTAGATAAGACACTACCCAAAGATTTCGCCCTCATTTTGTGAGGACTTTTTTATCTGAGTTCTGGTTTCCTTTAGGCGCAAGCCCCTATAGTTAATTACCCCTCCTGATAACATGAGCGAACTTTCGATTAAGGCTAGTCGTTAAGGAGGTCGTATGGATCATGAATCCAGTGAATAATAGCAACAATTTTAGAGTTTAATTTTGAGATATGAATTTTATGATTTAGAATTTATCACCATAAACTTAAAATTGGTGGTGGGGGGAATGAAGACGAGCCAGATCAAGATCCCATGGTTATGTTGTCTTGAGTTGTCATGTTCCCTAGTCTACTTAGTCAGAGGAGGTAGTCGACCCAACCTGACAAAAGGAACCTTATCGACAGCCATGGGTTGCTTCGTCCAAGAATACCTTGTAGGCCTGGGTTGGTGTTTGTCAAAGGGGATAGATCTGAATCCACCTTAGCTAACAGATATCTTTATGCTTATCAAATATATCCTATGATTCATCGTTCAAGGGTTTGATGCCTTTAGGGAACATACGGGCTTTAGCCGTGATCGTAATATAATGGTGTCATTTGCGGCAAAACCACCCGATCAGTGGGCACGTGCCACGTCCCTATTGGCAAAAGACTATTTGAGGATGAATAGTAGTGATACACCAACATGCATTTGTTCTTTATGAGCTGAGGTTAATTTCAAATTTATCAACCCCAATAAACGGTTGCGGAAAGTGGATGATTTTTAGTTTTAAGTTTTTTGGTGATATGTTTTATTTTAAGAACTTGCACTTTTGTTTGACTTAAGATTTGAACCCTCCGGTTGAGATTTTCTGTTATCACAACCATCATTGGAGTGACATATGGGCATTTACATTTGTAGATTGAACCTTGTCGACTCTACCAACTTGCTGATAGAGGATCGGGTTCATACTTGACTTCACTTGTTGACCTGCGCAGCATCCCTAGACGTCACGTATATTTTCATAACACGCTCGTTAGAGCCCATGCGGGTATTTAGAGGCATTTTGTAATTTAAGTCATGTCAACTCCGGTCCTTTCGAGGAGGATGAGATTTGAATATTTGACCCGCGCAGCATTCTCGAATAGTTGGATTTGGGACATAGATATGACGATTGGAGCACATACAGGTTGTAGCATTTGACCCTGCGCAGCATTCTCGGACATTGATGTTTGTAACTTTAACGCATTGACTAGAGCACATGTAGGGGTGTATTTAATTTAAGGGATCATATTTAATACATAAGAGGCATTTTAAAAGATTTAAATATGATCCATTTGTGAGAGTGATTTTATTTTAAGAAATGCCCGAGACTTCATTTAAGGGCCTACGAACGCCTTTTGTCCGCTTGTACACATGTTGCGGATTCAGTGGCGTTAAAGCTTTTTAGCCTCATTACATTTATAGATTTCATAAAGTAGAAAGTAATCATCAAGCTCCTAGCTACATGGCATAGCTTAAATCTTTTTAGATTAATAAGACTCTTTTCCCTCCCATATTCATGATATACCTCTTTGTGACATAATGACGGTAAGTATCATGAAAGAGTATATATGCGATTAAGGCTTTTCACGTTACTAGTCTCATTGTTGCCTTCCTTTATGTGCTAAGTCCACAAAAAATTTCTTTGCTTCACATATCAATTAAATTTAAGATTATCTCCCATAAGCTTTCATTGTAAGTTCTTCTTCTCCTTCTCATTGCAACATTCATCGCTATCTTCATTTAACAAGAGATTGTCAAAACCCATTTTTTCTTATAACAGCTTGGGTTCATTTGATGATTACTTTCAACTTGGAGAATTTAGCAATCGAACACAAAGCTTCTTTAAAAAGAGGATTAAGGTGACAATGGCAGTAGTTTCTAAAAGAAGAATGGTGTCATGAAAAACACTCTAATGACGTATATATCACTAATCTTTTGTATTCCATGATTTATTGAAAAGTAAGCTGAAGGCACTACATAATAATTTTAAGCATCCTACCTGCTATCTTCATTAAAATTATGAATGTAATTTGCTAGGTATGATGGAAAGATGTGACCACTTATTAGGGATAATAAGTATTAAGATACTACTTTCCTAGAAATGATTATTGTATTTCTTGGGTGGAATCATTATTTGGTCCACCAAAATTACATAAGGTTTTGGCCAACATTTCAAGATGCTTATCCTATGTATATTGCCTTAGTAGACCCTTTTCAAAAATCCTATCCTTTGTAAACCATTTTGTGGCATTCTTGAGTTGCACGGGGTTACTCATAGAAATGAAATTTTTGTATCAGCATTAACTATCGTAAGGGTGTATTAATGCAAGAATTAATGATTTTGCATTACTATATTTCAAGCATAAGTATTGTTGCACCACCAATCACCCTTATGACATAATGTTATGGCAAAATCATGTCTCTCAAATTCAAGCACAATATGTTTCACAGAAGTATGTTGGAAAGATGCCAAGTGTTATTTTTCAGTTCAATTTTTAACTCAAGTTTTTTATATTCATTAATTTGAGTCCAAATCATTTTTCCTTATTTTTTTTTAATTGTTTAAAAATTTTACAAAATTTCACTTTTAATCAATTATGTGAGGGTCATTTGAGCATTTTCCAATATTCCCAAAAATTTTGCTAAGTCCAGAGTTTTCAAGTAAATTTCGGCAACCTTCCAGCGTCCCCTCCCCGGCACCAGGAGGTAAGGAGGGCATTTGACCTTTTGACTCGACCCGAGCGGATCAAATCAACGGCGAGGAGATTGGGAGAGGCAAATCGATCTCATAAAAGTCTTCAAATCTTCTAATGTGCGCGACCTGCTAATTTAAGCAATTAATTTAATTTTAAAAATATTTTTGGTCCCCTTTAAAATCCGGCAGCCTTACATCATCCCTTCCCCGGTGCCAGGAGGTAAAGAGGGCACTTTCCCTTTAGCTCAACTCGGCCGGAGCAAATCAACGGTGAGGAGATTGGAAGAGTAGTGTCTACGCTCCCTCGGTCAGATAATCTCGACGACCGAGGGCTTCGGGCGGCTCAAGGCGACGGGATCATGCACGGCGGAAGTCTGGCCGGTAGCGTCGAAGTAGGAGGCTAGAGGTCGACGGTGAAGAGCGAGATCTAGCCAGCGGAGGCTTACTCGATGAAGGCCGTTGGTTGTGCGTATGGGCTCGGATGGATGACGAGGTCGGCCTGGTTCGATCGGGTCGGCTTCGAGCTCGGAGAAGGAAGCACAGCCGGCAGTCTGAAGGAGACACAGTTGGAGATGGTGCAGTTCGGTCGTCTAGCTAGAGCATTGTAAGTTTCCTGAAATCTTCTTTCCTCTTTGCTTGCGATTCTGAGAGCGTGTGTGACGAATGAGAGGAGTGAGTCCTTTTATGTCGTAAGTAGGAGTTACTGGAGCTGGATATGGGATCGTGGGGTAAGTTATGTGCGATCGTGGATGAGGTGGAGCTTGCCGACAGTTGAGCCGTGGGTGAGTCGTTACAGGTCAACATTATAGTTCGATTGCATGGTATCCCAAAAGTTATTGTTTCGGACAAAAATGGTAGATTCACTTTGAGACTGTGGAAAAGCATTCATGAAAGCTTAGGCATAAATCTGCATTTCAATACAGCTTTTCATTCTCAGATTAATGGTCAATATGAAAGAATCATTCATGTACTAAAATACCTGTTGAGATTATGTGTTTTATTTATTAGAGGTAGTTGGGAGGATCACATACCATTGATAAAATTTTCTTACAATAATAGCTACCAATCAAGTATACAAATATATGAAGCACTTTATGATAGAAAATGCAAAACTCCCTTAACGTGAATTGAAAAAGGAGAACGACAACTAATGGGCCTATTATTGTAAGTTAATTAACTCAAAATCAGTAATTAACACTAAGTTAATTAACTATTAATAGTCATTTCATTTCATTATTTTATTCATATTACTGTAGCTTATTCTCTTAACTAAACTTGCATTGGCTTGATTAAATCCCACGGCTGAGAAGGATTTGGGGAATGT